GCTTTGGATGGATATTAATTCAGTGAAAACAATAATACAGAGAATAAAATTAAATAACTTAAACACCAGGGATTCTTTTATTTCCCAGTCTTAACAATTTTTTCGCTTTATCATTATTACAAAACAGATCCCTTTTGTAGAAGCCATCAAGAAAGAAATACAGACAATAACAATTTATCAAACAAATAATTACATAATAGAAATACTACCAGTCTTTAAAACATTGAATTAGCTTGAAAATATTTTTTACCTCATAGTCAAGTGTAAAAATCGTAGCGAAAAATATGTCTTAAAGAATTTTACTAGAAAATTACACATTAGTGATGTGTTCAACGAAATAAAGATGACTGACATTATTCTCATTTTTATCAGCGATGACATTACAACTTCATCACGGAACTGTATGTAAATGTCACAGCTAAGACTAGTTATAGTAATTAGTAAAACAACACACGAGGTACATAAGACACAGATCACAGAAGGGATGGACGTTTAAACAATATTCAACATTGTTTACACGACTGGATTTTGAAGACGTCAACATCTGGGGGAAGCATGGGATACAGTGACAGCTAGGATGCAGCTGGACGATCTAGACTTCGCAGATGATCTAGCTCTTCTGTTGCACACACAACAGCAAATGCAGGAGAAGAAGACCAGTGTAGCAACAGCCTCAGCGGCAGTAGGTCCCAATATACACAAAGGGAAAAGCAAGATTCTCCGATACAACACAGCATGCACCAATCCAGTCACAATTGACGGAGAAGATTTGGAAGATGTAAAAACCTTTACATATTTGGGCAGCATCATTGATGAACATGGTGGATCTGATGCAGATGTGAAGGTGCGGATTGGCAAAACGAGAGCAGCATATCTACAATTAAAGAACATCTGAAACTCAAAGCAACTGTCAACCACCACCGAAGTCAGAATATTAAAAAGTGTCAAAACAGTTCTACTGTATGGGGTGGAAACGTGGAGAACTACGAAAGCCATCATCCAGAAGATACAAGTGTTTATTAACAGTTGCCTACGCAAAATACCTCGGATCCGTTGACCAGACACTATCAGCAACAACTTACTGTGAGAGGGAACAATCCAGATTCCAGTGGAGGAAGAAATCAGGAAGAAGCGCTGGAAGTGGATAGGACACACGTTGAGGAAAGCACCCAACTGTGTCACAAGACAAGCCCCCACATGGAATCCTCATGGTCAAAGGAGAAGAGGAAGACCAAAGAACACATTACGCCGAGAAATGGAGACAGATATGAGAAGAATGAACACCAATTGGATAGAACTAGAAAGGAAGGCTCAGGACAAAGTGGGATGGAGTATGCTGGTCGGCGGCCTATGCTCCATTGGGAGTAACGGCGTAAGTAAGTAAGTAAGTAAGTAAATAGCATGTCAGTACTGCTTCAACAATTTTATTTCGTCTCATGAATTTGTTGAGAATGTGAGCTCGGATGAGTAAACAATATGTTCAAAGTGATATTAGAAACAATTTTCATAGATTATAAAATCTGAAAAAAATAATTATGGACTGAATAAACTGAATAAAATAATCAATAAACAATACACACAAAAATATTTACCTGACATCATACTAGTGTAAAAAATATGATTCCAATCTAGTTGAGAATCCAATCTCTACTTGTTTATTACTCCAGTTTAACAGAATAAATGTAGACATGATGCTGGTTCAAATGACAAAGCTTTTTTTAAAATGGTGTTTGAAATAAATCCCCCAGAAAAGTAAAATACAAATTTGCTAAATGATAACATTCCATAACTATCTTAAACTTTAAATAATTTAATTGTTCACTTGGAATTTCTGATTTTGTTTTGATGAAACGCATGTTAAAGTTAGCGTTTTCCATGAATAACATTTGAGCGTATGTAAATTAAATTTCTTTGATCAATAATTTTATTGAGAAAACATAAATATTGAATGGGAATTCTTTTTTGCGGCAGGTAGATTTTTCAAAGGGAATTATTCTCATTGTATTAATTATTCTTGGAACAATGAAGCATTAAAATTTCAACGACGTGAAGTATAAACACCAAGATTGATTCAAGTGAAGATTTATTAATCCTTAAACATGACAACAAACCTAAACGAAAATACACTCGTTATATATTGATTATACACCCATTTCGATTGTTAATTAGAAGTAAATCATATAGAGGAAAACTACTCAGAGTTATAACAAATCACACTCTGCATATCATATTGAGTATAGTTTCCGTCAATTTAATAGAAGTATATCGTATATTGACTTGAATAAACATTACACCCCAATAGATAAATGTTATACCAAATGAAATACCATACTGGAAAACAAAACCGAATGCTACATCGAGTAATTATCACATTGAATTAAAAGGGAAGTAATGTTGAATAACAATCACAATGAGTAAAATAATGGAATTTGACTTTCTCATCACATCATATCAATTACAATATTGGGGAGCACTATTTTGGAAAAACTTTATAACTGGGATAATTTCTAACAAATCTTACCTTTTCATCACCACATAGATTCCATTTCCTCTAGTTCACAAAATAGTAAATTTGTGTATGATTGAATCACAATTTCTTCAGGGGTATATTATCTTAAAGTTGAAGCTTTTAGTAGTAGATCAAGTTCAGAATTTATTAACATATTCTTCATTCATTAGTATATGAAGTACACTGAGGTGATAGTTGGAGGTAATTGACATGAAACGCTGGACCTAAATTTCATGTTGTTTGGCACTCATCAGTAAGGTATACCCATGATGTTGAGGGGACTGAAGCTTCCTGGTGGATTCGATCCCATATCACCCACTTTCACAACCAGGTACGTTACCATTGAGCTATTAATGCAGTCAATCTTATGTAGGACTGAGGTGTAGTTACAACTGATTGATCACTGAGTTGTAACTAGTGTCATGTGAGTCAGGTGCTTTTTAGTGTTGATCGAAATTCTATCAACCAAGTTGCAATCTTACTACTAGTCTAAATGACTCGATATTCCATTTATTATTCTGAGATGTAAGGTATCAACTGGTAGTACTTGCGGCTCGACTGGCTCAATGATAACAACTCTGACTGTGAATATGGGTGATATAGGATTGAATCCACCAGAAAGCATCATTCTCCTAAAGATCAGTGGTACACCTTGCTAAAGAATGCCAAACAACACGAAACCTAGATCTGGAATATCCTGTTGAATACCTCACTGTCACTACCACCTCACATCTATGCATAACAAATGGGATATTAAGTCATTAATACTATTTGCCAGATTGCAACTTGATCGATAGAATCCGATCAACATTAAAAAGGACTTATGATAGATGATATTTGTCAATACTTAGTGACTGGTTAATCATAAATGAGGTGCTTCATTTTTGTACTTTATTTATTTTTTATAACTTTAAGTATGAATCACTTAAAGGCTTAATAATATTTCTTATACAATTCCTAATAGACATTTTCAGACATAATCAATCATATGACGTAATTCATTCATGAACGTCTATTCACATAATGATATAAGAAATTCCAGATTTAAACGTTCTTAAGAAAATTATTACCGTTTTATTGTCTAAGAGTCATAGACTCTATTATAATTAAGTCGGTGCTTACATTTTCGTGACTGAAGTAATCACTTACATAATTATATTTTATTTTTATTTTTTTTTGTGGTGGTTTATTGGTCAAAGCCACTTTTTATAATGAATGAATATTAGAAAATAATTAATCCGATTGCATGTTTACCTCTATCTCAACTTTACCTACAGGCTATAAATTTAAATTAAACTAATATTTCACTCATGTGAAGGATATAAAACTAATAGACTGAATAGCCGAAGTGCAGACATACATGATACTAATTAATTAACTGTAGCATGTATATGAATAAGTAGTTGAGAATTCATTTATATCAGAAAGGTGATTTTGTGGATATTATAGTAATTTGATAGTTGAATTCATGAATCAATTAAAGCTAGACCACTATGGAGAACCTGGAAGCACTGAACGGCCGTTTCGTCTTATTGTAGGACTCTTCAACTGTGCACCCTCAAAATACTGCCCACAGGATTAGAACCCAAGACCTGTCGGTCTTGCGCGCGAACGATTAACCCTTAGACAACTGATCGGACAGTCAACAGTGTTAATGTCTAACTTTTACCAATCCACGAAATTGCGACACTGTCAACTCATTTATATCCTAAATTTATTTCTGCACTATAGTGTAGTAAGTTATAAAGATACAATTATAGCACTATTTATTGTGACGAATCACTGTTGACATGAATTAATACAAATAGTAGAAACTGTCAACAAATGGACTGTATTCTAGACTACATTCTATCTTGCTTACTAATTACAATTCAAAAATAATAGCTTGAGTGATGTAACAATAAAACAACTTCCTAAAATTATCATTTTGATAATTTCTACAAGACCATTTATACGTTATCATTGTTTTACCTAGATTTCTTTAGATCAGTGTTTTAAAACGGAAGATATAAACATTGTTTTACAACTAAAAAAGCTTCACCATGGTAACCCAATAGTTCGGATATGTAAAATGTAAACAAACAATGAGTCTCATTATTATTACTTTTAAAAAAGTAATAAGGATTCAGGTCTTTAGATTTTGATTCCTTTCATTCATGGACAGGTTTTAAGTACCACTCATCTTGTCCACTTTTTATAGATGCAGTTAAAACAAGTTGTTCTGTTCCAGGAGACATCATGAATTGAAACAGATTTAAAGTTTTCCATTGGTTGAATAAAAAGCACCAATCAAAAGTTAGGAACGAATAAATTTCCTTTTTAAAACCTATTCACTAAATATACAGCATAAACATTTTAAAGAAAACGTGTTAAGTTCTTTTGGTACATGAAACAACAATCTAAACAAAAACTAAGAAATTTAGTTTTATACAACACAGCAAATAATATCAATTAGAAATCAGTGGTTCGAACAGCCAACTCACATATCGACATGAAAGCCTTCATTGAACGGTAAGTTAAGTAGATTATTATGATTTTTATAAAATCTGAACCAGAAATACACACTAAACTAAATATATACCAGGAAGACTAACAAAAGAGTTAGTATTTATTGAAAGGTTGATCACATCATCCGTTAACTATTGGTAATAAACTGAATAACTAAAATAGAGGGCTAACGACAATTCGGACATTTCAGCAGTAGCTCATTTGAATTTTATGCTGTCTTATCACCAATATCTTATGGTATGCTTTACATGATTTTAGACATAATTATTAGTCACTTCTTTCTAACTTTGTCTTTTGTGTACAAAGTTTCTGATGGATTAAATACTTATTTATCAAGCCAAGTTTTCTTTATCACCAGGGTTTTGTTATAGTTGATCAAAATAAGTATTATGACCTGTTGGTGTTGTCACAACAACACTTACAGTTGTGTCTTTTTATACCTCAGCACTACTGTGATATATTAATAGAAATTAAGTGACAACAATTCTTATTAATCCCTTTGTCTTACATATAATTACCATGATGTTCACATATTTAATTATCCTTGCTTAAGACAAAAAAGTTCGAGCTTACATGTTTATCGTTGCGTGGGTTGTTAACATTTAAAGAATACTGGATATAAGGGATTCTTCTACACAGCCACATCAGAATTAAAAAAAAATGCTTCTCAAATCATTCCTCTTTCTTACCTCAACAATGTTATAAGAATGTCTATAGATGTAAGCTGTTGTAATATAAATATCTTTCAGTTTGTATTGTTTTTCATGGGCAAAATTCAATGGCTAAAGCATATACCCTTGGTAGAAGACAAATAAGTTTTAGCAAAAGAAATACTCGTAAGCGATTGAATAATTTACTGAAATAAGTATAATGACGAAGAACTACGGATAAAATTCTAGCAAACTATGAGAAGTAATCTATGACAATCTGACTATTGATTATGCAGTACACAATGGATACATCAATAAGAACACACATTATGCTGTATTGAGTCTGTGTTACTAAGTGTTTAAGGTATTTTGAAATCAATGAGGTGTAATGGACCACTACTGAATGCGTATAACTGGTACAGTTTTTTCGCTCACATAATTTATTGAGACAGTCCGTATTTTGACTTATATTAATATATGCAAAGTAATTGATTACAGGTTAAGCACTGTATAAATGGTAACTTTTGTGACCAATAGTCGATATTGAAAATTACTGACAAATTACATATCCATGTCTTAGGAAAATTTATGTGTTTTGAGATATTGTTCGTCAATAAAAGTGATCCTACAATTGACATAACAATATACGAAGAGTGCCATTAAATTATTCTGAAATCAATAAACAGTTCAGTTGCTGATTAAATCAGAGTCACTAACAACAATAAATATATTTTTGTTATATTCCAATGAGTAGAAGAACTGTATTTCTGATGTTTCGTAACTTAATGCGAGGCACCTCTTCAGAGTAAATAAATAAATAATAGAAATATATTTATTGTTAACTCTCTACCCAATACTCAATTTATTCCAAACTACTAATAGTTTTACTCTCGTTTCACAACAGACATATATTACAACATCTAAGTTAGTCTCAAACTTTTCATTAAAATCATCCACCTAGTAATCTGACATCAGTATATTTTACAAGACATAATCGTAAAATGTTTTGTATAAGGTTTTTAGAAACTGAAGGGAATCAGTAGAAATCCCTATTCTGTTTTAAATGTACACTAACAAAGATAAGTCGTAGTCTTAAATAACATAGAAGCGCTATATATTTTATTCAACGAATCAGTCAGTAAATTTGAAAAGATTATTATTACTATGATTATTATGATTAATGGCCTTATTCAATATTATATTTTGTCACAATACATAATTCTCAGCATAAGATATTCCGACAAAATCTTTTGCAAAAATGAAAGAGCAACAACAAAAAAGGAAGGAAAAAGATTTGAATCTGTACAACTTTCCAAATTAGAGACTTGTTTAAGAATACAGGTTATTGACTACGTTAACTCTAACAACCTGTTCGTCATAGAGTATATTTGCTAGATAAGGTATGATGGAACTTTTATACCTTATCATACATTATACCTTATTCCTGATTCACTGTGAAGAAAAAATTGTGTAGAAACCCAAAAAGTATAAATTGAATGTAGTTATCAAACTTTACAAATGTTAATCTTATTGTAATTTAGGCAAATATGTGGGAATAATATTACACCATACATTTACAGTATATAGTTAACAGACAATCAGCTAACCTAAAAAAGTACTTTGGTATTTTATATTGTCCAAATAAATTTCAGTATGTTCTTATTGTGTTGATTGTTATGAGATGTCAATTTACAATTCTGGATCTGGGTTTTTTATCACTAATTACACGTTGCCAAGGCTTGACTTCAGTTCTGAGGGAACTGATGCCCTCCGTATTGTCATAATTCAAGTCACCTTGTCATGTTTAGAGAAATTCTCACTGAACAATTCTAGCGATTTGTGTCTTACTGTAGAGCTGAGATATTTAAGATAGCTTTGTTCCATTGATTAGCTTCATATTGATTACTAACTGGTAATCAATCAGATTTTTTCTTGATAGCAGATAGTATTACTGCAGAATCATGATAGTTGTTATCTATTGGTAATGAGTTGTCGGTTTCACATATAAAACATCGAATAGATTAAATTAACATTGAAACTAGAATTGCATCCACAATGATGTTGATACTCTCCTCTTCTTAATAAAATGTCTATTACCTAAAAACTACAGAACAGATCATAAAATTAGTTCAGATTTAATAAGATCTCATATTAACCAAGCAAAGAAGACACTTGTAATACGATAAATAATTTGTTGAACAAGATAAGTGTTGATATCTGATCACGAGGCTATTGATCAATATTTGATGATAATTATTGTTGAAAGTTAAGTGCTCGCGCGCGAAACCAGTAGGTCCTGGGCTTGAATCTCGCAGGGGGCGAGGTCGTGGATGCACGCTGCTGAGGAGTCCCATTATAAGACGAAACGGCCTTCAACTGCTTCCAGGTTTTCCATGGTGGTCTAGCTTCAACTGACTCATGATCTTAACTATTAAAATGTTAATAGTCTATCTTCAAAAATGTGTTCGTTTAGTAGAATGAAAAGATAAAGTATAAATTTTGGACTAAATCAAAACCCGTTTTCTCATATTTACAATCATTTTGATAAGTATCATCAAAAGCAATAGGAAGTGATATTCGTGATTTATTGACTATGTTTTATTTTGATTTCATATATTTTTTTCTAGCTAAAAATTAGGGATAATTATATTTGGCTTCTCTAAATAAAGAATATGGGATGAAATTATGCTTTGTTACGGGTGAAATTAAAATTAAAGCTTAGAATATAATAGTGAATTTAATAAAATTAGAAATAAGCAAACTCCTATTAAGTGAAAACAATAGATTGTATATCATAAAGTGGAAAATTTTGATTATTTTTGGAGATAAAAATACCATTTGAAAGAGTTATCATGATGGTCATCTGAAGAAATAGTGGGAAAATTAAAAGCACTAAGCAGTTGCTCCACATTAGTTTGAAAGTTAATACCAGTTAACATATACGAACTTATACGGAATTGAATCAGTGATAATCAGTGTTTTAAAAAAAAATTGAAAACGAAACTTTCATAGGACTGAACCAGAGACATATACTGACAAACTCAACCTATCAGTGATAAAAGAAGATTCTTATTTAAAGTTGTCAGTGGAATTTAAATGGTTCCTTGGGTGATATTATTCCATGATTAAAATAATTGACATGAAGCAATTTCACCCTGAAGAACTAAATGATTTATAAGTGACATATGAAGTAAATAAAAAAAACGCTTGGTGAAAATAATACAATGAATCGACGTTCTTACATATGCATTATTATAATGATATGACGGTATCTCAGAACAAATTTCCACTCGTGGATAGAAGCATTCATTAGTGATCAATCGACATTCTGGCCCTCAATACAGTGCCATTAATTAGGGAATTTCGTACGTTTAAGAGAAATTCATATTAGAGAATGCTTAGATAAATTTTATTTTTGCAGATGAGGATAAATAATGACACTAATATAATCTACACTACTTAAAATACTTGAGTGTATTTTCAGTCTTTAAAAAAATCTTTCCAAACGATTCAGGATTATTTATATTTATTAAATTATTAATTTTATGACTGATTAGAAATTTCAACTGATTATTGTTCTCATTAAAAAATCAATTTACTTATTTTTAGGAAAAATTCCAGCACTTAGTAACTGAATAATTTATTACTAGTATTGGATTTTGTAGAGACTAGTAGAATTTTCATAGTTTCGAATCATTAACTGTTCATAGATAAACTACCACTAAAAGTCATAAAGTATTGAAGAGCTTTTTCTTTCATTGCCTGCAGTAGATAAATGTTTCAAAACCTATGAGGTTAAACTCAGTTGGTCATGGCTTGTCAATATAACTCCTGGAATTGAGCCTTGAAGCTATTCAATAGTGGACTGATTGAATTTAGACATGCACAGTACTGAATCTCAACCTAGAGGTCAGACGTTAGCACGCAATACTGATGACCCAGGGTTTGGTTCCTCGTTCCGAGGCCGTGAATACGCACTACTGAAGAGTCCAATATTAAGACGAGACAGCCATGTAAAGCTCTCAAATTTCTAATAGTGGTCTGACTAGAATCAGTTGGTAATTTACAACGACAGATAATTAGTCGTTGGCATAATTTATATGATCTATGAAGTATTTATTTTCATCCATAGCACTGAATAATGAGTGACAATGGGAGAAACAATTCAACCCAGAAGACTTCAAAATATTAAATTGTTCACTATTAGGACCATTGAAGATGAATTTATTTTTAAGTTCGAGGCAAACGGGGTTCACAAATATCTAAGTAAGACTGAGCGTAATTAGAATTGCACAGAGCCCGAAAGTAGGAAAAGGTTTGTAATGAACGAAAACACTGGTGAAGATAATCAATGTATTATATAAAAAAATTACAGAATATCTTGTTAAAATATGTGAACCGTGCACTGAATACTTCATTTGCTAATTTCTATGCTTTGTCCTTCAAATTCTGTATGATTCTTCCAGTTCACAATTCCTGTCTATTTTCTCTTCTATTCTCTTCAACGTGATCTTCTTAGTCTTCTGCTGCCAAGGTTTATACTTTCGTCTGGTTTTACATACTACTTATGTCGACAGATATAAGTAGAATACACTATAGATTAACTTGTAATCCGTGATGTCTACTTCATAAAACTCGACAGCTTTGTAAGAAAAGTGTCGATTATTACAAGCTCGTTCAACCCTCAATATTGTTGGAACTAAAATTTAACCAAGTTAATGTTCAATATTTTCAGGTTCAACTATTGACATTCATAAGTTCACCATAATACAAAATAAAATAATGAAATTTGAGAAAATAATGGATTGGTTACATGTCAGTGATTCACTTAGATCTAATTGAAAGCTTAAATGTGAACATCACTCTTGTTCAGGAATGAAAGACTGGTTTATACCAGTTATTTAAAAACAAATTAACTAATCTCTATGGGTTTTATTCATTGAAGGACATAAAAGTTGGTACAAAGCGGCACCGCTGTACACATGCCCCACACAAATCATAAAGTTTGTGCAAGAGCTGATATACTACCTAAGTGCCCAAAGCAATACAGTTGGCTTTCTTAGGTGGCTAATCCCCGAAGCTTTGACGTAGGGGTCTAATCCATAAGGGACTGGAAGTACGGTCTAATGGTACCCAGTGACTAAGAATCGATACTATTTCATTCTGTAATTAGTTTCTAAATTGAAAGCCTCATGAAGTTTCATATATATGTCTTACAGATACAAATCGCCCTTACTTTAATATTAATGTCTCAACATAAATGAAATTAAATCAACACAAACAAAGTTTATTATTCATAGAAAGAAAAAAAACCGATTTTGACTTCATTAGACAAAGCTACGAATTAAGTTAAATAAAAATCGCAAACCTGACAATTCAAAACCTATCAGCCAATTCACTTTCATGTGTATTAGTAACCAGTCGAAAATTACTCAATAAAATATGAATGACAAGAAATTCTTAATTTATTTAAAGAAATTTCTAGACGTCTCTTGAATGAAACGAAGTGATTTACAAATCTCAAGCAAATTCTAAACAATTTCTTGGTGATCTAGTGAAATTCATCTCATTTGTTAAACACATGTCCATCAATGAAACAAATGAGTAATCTTTTTAAAAAAAATACCCGATATAATGGTTATTAGTTTAACATTTAATTACTTAGTAAAAATGTAATCATTTGTGATGACAATCAGTTTTAAAAATGTAGTGATTGGTCCAAGTACTGTCAAAATATGCGTTCAATACATTAAGGTGCATACTTTTACATCTATATACAGCATATCATCATCATCATCATCATCATCATCATCATCATCATCATCATCATCATCATCATCATCATCATCATCATCATCATCATCATCATCATCATCATCATCATCATCATCATCATCATCATCATCATCATCATCATCATCATCATCATCATCATCATCATCATCATCATCATCATCATCATCATCATCATCATCATCATCATCATCATCATCATCATCATCATCATCATCATCATCATCATCATCATCATCATCATCATCATCATCATCATCATCATCATCATCATCATCATCATCATCATCATCATCATCATCATCATCATCATCATCATCATCATCATCATCATCATCATCATCAAAATTAACGTTACGCTCACTTGATTTATAAAACATGATATGAAAAATTCGATAATTTGGAGGAAATGTATTATGGAACCGAAATAAAACTCGGCTCTGTTCGTAATAACATAAATCATTACAAAGTAACATTACATGTGATCAAATAATTTATCGGAACAATAAAACTTGTAGTTTAGAAGAAAATATAAGAAACTAGAAACTCTAATAGACAATATTTATGACCGTCAAATATTATTTTTAAAGAGAGCAACAACGAAGATTGATGCAGAATAAAATGAATAAAGGGAACTAGGTATATGAAATATCAGTTTATTCATTTTAGGGAAGTAACAGCGTTCCATATGAAAAATGTTATTCATTTAATAAGAAGCATTTTTAAAAATAATAGTTTACTTATATATGTGTGTATGTATGTGAGGAATTCTTGCTTCCGAAATAGTCTCACAAACAGTGGCTCTCCAAACTGTATATATATAATTTTACAGTATACCGAACGTTTATCAAGAAAGCTAGAAAAAATTGTCAGAACTTATTAAGTAACATAAATCATGAATGATATAGTCTGAACTAGAAAATTGGAATAAGTCTATTTCCCGGATTGTCAAGATTAAATAATACATTTTCTTTTTAGATAATTAAGTTGAAAAGTTATGGAAATGATCATTTCCTGTTTATGAAATGTGACAAAATTCCTAATAAACGAAGGTTACCATTACGAAGATTTTGTATTACAGTGTCGGTAATTAATCCTAAGTTATTCCAAATGTACTCTGATAATCATAATCTTATGCTGTAGTGAACGAAAACACGGGCGAGGACAACCAATACAACATTACAGAAAAACTTATTAAAATTTGAGAACTATATTGTACATACTTCATTTGCAAAATGTTAATCAATTATCTCAGACTTGATTATTCTTCCGTTTCCAAACCAATCATTCTCTGTTCTCGTTCTCTTCTTTTCGATTTTCTTAACCTTTTTCCGCCAGGCATTTCACATTCAATTGATGATACATACTACTTATATCTATCAACATCAGTAGCACACACATGATATTATTGAGTATATTCACATAAATCTTGAAAAACGCATTCGATACCCATCAGGACTATAAATTCCGAAATTTCATATAGATTGTTTTGCTTAAAGTGGAAACGAAAATTGTTTCCACACTATTCTCTATTACAAACGCAAATGTATCATGCATAAATTTAAAATATAATATCCTACTTTGGATTATAGCGGGTTTAGTCAATGTATGCTGTTAAGACATGTGAATTTACTGTCATAAAAGAAGTTTACACATAGCAAAGTCACACCATAATTATACTATTATATCGCTGATAATAATAGTTGGCTCTTGATACTAAATTAAACTATGAAAAAGATATATTCATTAATTATATTTTTAATAAATGTTTGGAATTTTACCGTCAAAATATTGTTTTTTCCCGTTTTATTTCAGCAAAGAAAGTTCTTCGGATTTGCTGAGCAGATACAAAGCAAGAAAAATGTTAGGAGTTGGTGAATCGTCTGGTAATGTCGTTTCTTCAAAGGTAAGCATGTTATGATTGGTATTAACAAAATAAAAAACCTGTACACTACTGCTTACCATGAAGTGGCTTTGTTTAGATAATTAGTGATTCTCATACAATACTATAAACGTGCTTCATTTGATCAAATAAAACCTTGACAATTCTTGATCTTAACACAAAATGAGATCAGACCTGCATCACTATAGTTGGGCGATTTGTACTTCGGGATGTAACCCATGGTTCAGCACAATAATAGCCATTTTTATCACTAAAACTGTAATTTTTCCAATGTAAGCATACATCTTCACTGCAAGTATAGTGTTTTGTGCAGTTATTTCGCCTTACAAGTTTAGGCAGATCGAGAATAAAAATATTTGTAGGATAGGGTGGATTAACTGTACATTATGTTTCACTTCCAGCTACATAAAAGCTGATTACTGTGGCTAGTTCAAAATATTGATATGTAACTTATAAGTAATAAGTTGTTCTGAAAGTAAGCTTCTAACGATTACGATTTTATTAGTTTGAAATTGGTTTTACAAAACTGATAATCTTATAAAGACTCTGCTGTTATGAAACAGGATGGTTGTAAATTAGTCTTTCAAAAGTAATTTCTGAAAATAGTATAAAACTAAATAATCAATGAACTTCTTCAGATGGTAAACAAAGACAGATGTTCACTTTAGATAAGTAATTCAGTTGGACAGTAATTATGCATTCAAGTGTCTGAATAATAGTTTATTTGTTCATGAACATAAAACTACTCACTGATCAAACAATTATATTTTTTATGTGAGTATACAGGATATATATAGTGTCGGTTATTGTGTTAAGCCCATATACCTTATTCTTGCTTTCACACAAGCCAATCTATTCATTCTACTCGAGTTATATTTTGACCTTGTTGATTATTCACTTATCAATCTTGACTGTTTTTATATGAGTGCATATGTGTGTACAATTCTTATCCCATTTATCACATGTCTGTAACTTATTATAGTGTGACTATAAATATTGATCAACACTTGACAAAAAGGAGTTGGCTAACATACCATTCCCACGGCGCATCGTTTCACTTCGCTCTATTCCATTCGCTTCATGTACAAAATATATATATTCAAAAGTCCGTTCTCGTTATTTGAATTATTTAATTCCGTTACTGACTAACGCGATTTAAGTCGATGATTATATACGAGGATAGGCGATAACAAACATTCATACGATCTACTTGGAGTCAGATCTCGGATCACTAAAGTGATGAGCCCATCGAAAATATCGTCCGATCTAAATGACGACAAAATAAAGGGCCCCACTAAATAATAAATGTTGTCTACTTTAAGATTCACTTCATATTCATATTCACTTAAGAAATATTAAAAAAACTAATTTCAGATTATTCATAAAGTTTTGAAAATTGTTACTACGCTTTTCATAACCATTAAATATAGTTGACCTATTACATATTTGACTAAATCGTACAATATTTCTACATCGATTACATTAACCATGATAGTTGCTATAGATGATTCTGTTTGAAAAATCTTTAATTAAATTAATAGTTTATTGTTAAAAATATTTTTATTACATAATGATCTCAATTTCTTTCTTAAGTTAAAGATGATATCACAATTGATTGATCACTGGGTGGTGATCAATCTCATGCTTGTCTAGTCCTTATTAGTGCAGATCGAATGCTATCGATCATGTTGCAATGTGGCCACCAGTCTAGGTGACTCGACACTGCGGGCACTATGTATTGAGATTAGATGGTGGTTGGAGGTAGTCAACAGGAAACCCTGGACCCGGGTTTCGTGCTACTTGGCACTCGTCAGCAAGGTGTACCTGTAATCTTGAGGGAACTGGTGCTCCCTGGCGGATTCGATCTCGTGTCACCCAGCTTCACAGTCAGAGACGTTACCACTGAGCTATCCGAGCCGTGACTAACCTCCTGTAGGACTGAGATGTAATCACAATTGATTGATCACTGGGTGGTGATCAATCTCATGCTTGTCTAGTCCTTATTAGTGCAGATCGAATGCTATCGATCATGTTGCAATGTGGCCACCAGTCTAGGTGACTCGACACTGCGGGCACTATGTATTGAGATTAGATGGTGGTTGGAGGTAGTCAACAGGAAACCCTGGACCCGGGTTTCGTGCTACTTGGCACTCGTCAGCAAGGTGTACCTGTAATCTTGAGGGAACTGGTGCTCCCTGGCGGATTCGATCTCGTGTCACCCAGCTTCACAGTCAGAGACGTTACCACTGAGCTATCCGAGCCGTGACTAACCTCCTGTAGGACTGAGATGTAATCACAATTGATTGATCACTGGGTGGTGATCAATCTCATGCTTGTCTAGTCCTTATTAGTGCAGATCGAATGCTATCGATCATGTTGCAATGTGGCCACCAGTCTAGGTGACTCGACACTGCGGGCACTATGTATTGAGATTAGATGGTGGTTGGAGGTAGTCAACAGGAAACCCTGGACCCGGGTTTCGTGCTACTTGGCACTCGTCAGCAAGGTGTACCTGTAATCTTGAGGGAACTGGTGCTCCCTGGCAGTGTCGAGTCACCTAGACTGGTGGCCACATTGCAACATGATCGATAGCATTCGATCTGCACTAATAAGGACTAGACAAGCATGAGATTGATCACCACCCAGTGATCAATCAATTGTGATTACATCTCAGTCCTACAGGAGGTTAGTCACGGCTCGGATAGCTCAGTGGTAACGTCTCTGACTGTGAAGCTGGGTGACACGAGATCGAATCCGCCAGGGAGCACCAGTTCCCTCAAGATTACAGGTACACCTTGCTGACGAGTGCCAAGTAGCACGAAACCCGGGTCCAGGGTTTCCTGTTGACTACCTCCAACCACCATCTAATCTCAATACATAGTGCCCGCAGTGTCGAGTCACCTAGACTGGTGCCACATTGCAACATGATCGATAGCATTCGATCTGCACTAATAAGGACTAGACAAGCATGAGATTGATCACCACCCAGTGATCAATCAATTGTGATTACATCTCAGTCCTACAGGAGGTTAGTCACGGCTCGGATAGCTCAGTGGTAACGTCTCTGACTGTGAAGCTGGGTGACACGAGATCGAATCCGCCAGGGAGCACCAGTTCCCTCAAGATTACAGGTACACCTTGCTGACGAGTGCCAAGTAGCACGAAACCCGGGTCCAGGGTTTCCTGTTGACTACCTCCAACCACCATCTAATCTCAATACATAGTGCCCGCAGTGTCGAGTCACCTAGACTGGTGGCCACATTGCAACATGATCGATAGCATTCGATCTGCACTAATAAGGACTAGACAAGCATGAGATTGATCACCACCCAGTGATCAATCAATTGTGATTACATCTCAGTCCTACAGGAGGTTAGTCACGGCTCGGATAGCTCAGTGGTAACGTCTCTGACTGTGAAGCTGGGTGACACGAGATCGAATCCGCCAGGGAGCACCAGTTCCCTCAAGATTACAGGTACACCTTGCTGACGAGTGCCAAGTAGCACGAAACCCGGGTCCAGGGTTTCCTGTTGACTACCTCCAACCACCATCTAATCTTAAAGATGATATTTTTGGACTGTTGTGTTTAATAAGGAAAATTAGATTAAAAATATAAAAATAAAGGGAAGGATCATTTTTAGGATCATAACACATTTAGCAATGATTTTCATTGATCTTATATTACGTATATTTCTGGGTGATATTAATGATTCACTTAAGAAGTAATTTCAAGATCAATTTCCGTTAAACATTCGATTTTCGTAGAATTTCGAACCTTTTGAGCAAATAATTTTTTTTCTTTCATTTTTCAATATCTTGTCACTTAATTTACATAATTTTTAAAAAAAAAGTAATTTCGGTGAGGCTCTAATTTATGGACGACCTTTGAAAGAATCTCAAGTGACCTTGAGAAATCTCAGCCAATCAGCAAACAGTCAGTATGGAGTAAAAATATGCTATACAAAACCAAGGAAATAAAGTGGATACATTTCTTATACGTGTTTCAAAAACTTATCAAGGTTAGAAAGAGGTTAAGAGGTTCCAAAATCGTAATGCATGCAGTAGAGGGAATCATCCATACGGCTACAGAATAGTCGGGATCTGGAGCCATGATAAAGTCTCAAATATTCTTTCAGCGTCGACCACATAGCTCCAATATTGTTTATGGGCACTCCGGTTGTTGAGTGCACAAAATGCTACTTGTGGATAACGACACGATGCACATAACCAAGCCTATGTAGGAGTCTGTACGCTCTCCAAACATCCGTATGTATTGTAGTACATGGATGCAGTCAGTGTTACTGGTGCTTTTTTTATCCACTTCCCAATAATTGTCGTAATTTTCCTTAGTTAGGAATTATACATGGGATTTTCTTCACGAACTGACATCAGCTATAATGCCAGAAGTTTATTTAACCAAATGGATGAAAGGCTTTTGCGTTAAAATCCGAGATTTACTATCTCATACCTGATCGATTCGTCCACAAATTATAGTCTAGCCGTTTTATTTGTTATAGCCGCTGAATTATCATGTTTTTTACAAAATTCCCTGTGAACCAAACGTGCGTTAGCATTAAGCACTGAAATTGGCGCCGTAACCTTGAAATCTCTAAAACGCCTCTGATTGGCTCGTCCATAAATTAGAGTCTCTCCGTAGTTTCTTTTCTTGTTTCTATTTGGTAAAATGTAGTTAATGATCTGTTTTAAAACCAAATGGAAAGAAACCTACAAAATACATTTGTATTAGTTGTTTGAATCATTTCATTAATGCTTCAGACTGTAATTTTAACCGATCTTAACAAAATAATTTTAAATTCATTCCTTTGAAATGAACAGGCGAATCCTAAATTGTTTTTAGAAACTAAAGCTCTATCATGTTACTTACATATATTGGAGGTTTGCTATTTACTAATTAATGAGTTTGATCATTTAGCATTGTCTTGATATTGATATTTGACGTAACAAATCCATCTATAAGCTAAACCTAATATTTAGGAAGCGTA